AGCGCGGAGCGCGGCGGCTCCAGCCCTCGGTGCAAGGTGCAAGTGCCTGTCCTTTGTTCAGGGACTTGTCTTAAGTGGTTTTCCTACAGTTACGAGTTACGAGGTCTTCAGCCTAATGGCTCCTGCCATCTGTTCCCCGTCTGGGCGCCTCCTACCGGGACCTGCAGAGGAGTGCGGGAGGAGGAGGAGGAGGAGGAGGAGGGTGTGGGCAGGCAGCAGGGCCGATGCTCGGAGGGGAGCACAGCCTCCCGCGCCACTGCACCGGTCGGCAAAGTGCCGGGGGTAATGAGGCATGCGGCCCCCGTCGCCGGGTGGGGATGGCACTGATGGAAGGTGGTTTGAATCAGATGGCAGATGCCACTTGCCATCAGGCCACGCCTCGTCGCCTCTGGAAAGCCAGCAGAGCAGAAGGGCACGGGGCGTGTGAGGTGCAGTGGGTCCCGCAGGGTGGGTCTCCTCCACCCCAGCTCCTGCCGGCACCGGGGTGGGAAGGAGCCGGCAGGCTCCCGAAAGCCAGGGCGCTATCCCTCTCCCGTTTGGTCCGGCGGAGGTGAGGAGCCAGCAGCCCTTGGTGCCAGCACCGGAGGATGCTCAAAGCGCTCCCGGCGCCCTCCCTCCAGCACCGTGCACTTTCCAGGACCTTGCACAGTTTCCAGACGCAGCCCCAAAATCAGGGCACGAGGCAGGGTGTCCTGCCATGGGATCCCAGCACCCAGGGAGCCCCCAGGCCCCCTCGGGGAGGGGATGCTGGTGCCGAGCTGGCTGGGGGTGAGGTGTGCGGGGCAGGAGCCGGCTGAAAGCAGGGGTAGTTTGCAGTGGTGAGCAAGGTTCCAGCCGGACCGGGAGGCTAGACCCAGCAGCTCTGCTGCTTACTGGGATTTAACACATATTTAAACCTTCTTACCTAAAAATTCTGGGAAAACAGGAAAAAAAAGCAGGATTTTCAGTAAGAGCTGAAAGGGAGGGACTTTCCATGCAGTTCACAGGGCTGCGCCGGCGCAGCCACCCCAGGCATCGCTGGCAGCAGCTCGGGGCGCCCGGGGGCGAGCAGGGAGAGATCAGACGCAGGATTAGGCTTTTCCAGAGCCGCTCTCTGCCTTTGCACAATGCTCTTTGTAAGGGTGCCTGGGGGACCGGAGAAGGGGTTGGTTTTTTTTTTGGATGGGAGGAGGAATAAAGCTCTGCTTGCCAGAAGGGACAGGATTTGGTCCCCGGTGCAATGAACTGTACAGGGAAGGGAGAGAGGCCAAGGAGTCCCGGTGTCACTGGGGAAGCAGAGCACCGGTTCCTCCCTCATCCCCGCTCGCTTGCTGAGCCAGAGTTGTCCTGCCCCGGAGCAGAAGTGCTGTGCCAAGGCGGGGGGCCACTGCCTCCCCTTCTGCCTCTTCCCTGCCTGCACGTGCTGCCAGTTTCGCTCGGCGGCCGCCAGCGGGGAGGGGAAGGCACAGGGCAGGCGCCAGGGCGGTGTGGGAACCCCGGGGTGCACATGGTGCCTCCGCTGAGGTTTCGGGACGGCTCTGCGAGAGGAACCAATGACTTCCCTCACTCCAGACCAAGGATGACTCAGCTCCGACTGGGGCGTCCTGCTGATGCATGGGGCCGCGGAGGGCGGCAGAACCCCCCACCCTCCTGGGCTGGTGCAGGGGCAGGGCGCAGCGCTTGCCCCGTCTTGCTCTGCCCATCGTCCCCCCCAGATGCTCTCGGGGGGGCTGCTTGGGTGGACTCTGTGGGCTGCTGGGGCTGGGGAAAGTGGGGGGGGAAGGATTATCTTTCGCCGTGCG